GAGAGAGAGAGAGAGAGAGAGAGAGAGAGAGAGAGAGAATAAGGGAGGGGTAGTTTAATCTTTAAAACGTTAACTTTTTGACTGGGGGGTAAAACCAAGAAAAAACAGTGACTGGGTTATGGGTGTGATACTAAAAGTATTAAGGGGTGGAATGTTTACGAAGTGCATTTTAGGTGGGTATCCATAATTTTTCCTAATTATTATGACCTTTTGATTAAGTCGTCTCTCCTATATTTTGTGTGAATCTTGTCTTGATAGTACAAACATGCAATATTACTGTCCAATTCTTTCACAAATGCACCTTGTCTTTTATAATGGATATCAAGGTTCCACGAATTCAGCTCTGGTTACTCCTGAACACATCTATTCTCTTTGGGCCTTGCATTAGAATGCTTCCATTGGATGTAAATCACATCTATTCTCTTTGGCCTTGCATTAGAATAACTTCCATTGGATGAAAATCTCTAATCTAGTAAGGTCTCTCTTTCTTATCCCGGAAATTGCGGTTGTTTTTGCATCCTTTGTAATGAACATTCCAAGTAATTTATTTTTTTGGAATGTGGCTGATGAACTCCTTTGAATTGTTGTATTATGATTCTTGGGGAATTTAGTTTGTATGCCTGTTCGGGTTCCTTCCCTATATTCTACCTTTAGCAAGGATATAAGATGAAGTGTTTGTTGATACATGTGGCTCTTTTATTTGCTAACACATTCACTTGTCTCTTGCAAGGATATAGTATGGGGCTTTTTTGTGAGTCCCTTTTATCGCATCTTGATCTGGTTATTCCATACGTTATATCAATAATAGTGTGAATCTTGTGTTGATTGTGTGGACGGATGCTCATCAGTGGTTTATTCTTTTGGGTATACCTGTTCATATGTCAATCATCTGTTATCATGCTTCCTTTGATCCAGTTCAGGAAATGTGAGACATCTATTATTTTCTCTCAGAATGTTGTTGCTGTAGGATTGCTCCAATGGCCTAGAAAATGTAATCGGCTCTCTATTCAAATATATTTATTTATGTCCATTTTCATCTTACAATTAAGAAAAGAACTTGTCTTTTGACTCCTTTCTATGCTTGCAGTGACCCTAGGTGTCCTACTTTTTTCTGTCTTTATGGTAAACAATTTAAAAATTAGGAGAGTTTTGTCTTGGCTACTTTCAGCCTGTGAAGTTTCTCTCTTTATTTCTCATGTGAGTGTATCATAGAAGTCGTAGTTGAGGGGTGGCATATGCATTCTAGTTGAAGAAAGAAGCAGGGATATCCTTTATTATTCTATTTTTTTTGTCTTGTATTTATGGAAATGTAACAACATACAAAGGCTTGCAGTCTATATTGGTTCATTTGTATCGCCACTGTTCTCATGTTGGACGCATATCAACACATATACTAATGATTCTTCTGGATTCTTCTTGTCTGTTAACCATTGATTTCATTAGACACTTGATCTTCTTTTCAATTTTCAGTAGACACACATGAATTTTGAAAATGTTCGTTGAACATTGAGAATATTATTGGGTTCAGCCAACTAAGGTATAATTGATTTCTTCTTGCTACTCATCATAAAATAAAATATTGGTAAAACATTGTTGGATTTGGTTCTCTCTTCATAATATACGTGCATCTCCAAATCATGTTCTTCCTTACATGTGGAATCTGACACCCTATACCAGTGTGAATCCGACACCCTGTACCAGTGTTAGCCACTCACACATGTACCCATGTCCATGCAATAGTAGTTGCAGTGCATGTTAGTGTTGAACTCACCTTTTTCCGTCATATAATGGATTAAATTAACTTTTGGAATTGGTTTCATTTCTAGAAATGTGGTAATTGTTTATTCTTGACTTTTTTGTGGATCATATGGTCCATATCTTAGACATATTTGCATCATTAAAAAATCTTCCATTGATTGATTTGTTGCTTTGCATAAATGATTGTTGGAGTTTCATAGAGTGAGCAAGAGAGTGTTCTCATCATGGATTCTTCGTTTTTTGGTGGTTCCCTTTTGTTTGGTTTTAATGTTGTGAGATGCACTGTTCTTATATATATACATATATTATTTCTCACAGACTATTTGAGGAATGCTTCCAACGTCGTTGGTATCGCACTGCAGCTTGTTATATACTTGTAAGTATGAACTGTCAAATGTGTCCTTTGATTCTATTTTTCTTGGTCTTCTGACTCAGAAGCAGGTTTTACTAATTGAAGTTGCTCTTTAGTACAGCTGCTAGATTCTGGTTTTGCCTGCATTACTCTAGTTGCTCTTTAGTACAGTTGATAGATTCTGGTTTTGCCTGCATTACTCTATTATCTATTCCATTCAATTCATTAATGGATATAATTTTTAATTACATCAAAAAGTAAGATATGTTTTGAAGAAGAAATCTCTAAAAAAGGACGGGAAACATGACTCTAATTCCAAAGTATTTCTTATGGCATTTGGATTAGGCCTTCTGCATTTTGATTGTCGTTTTTTTACTGATTGTAACTTTTTGTCTTTGAATGTAATGAATCACTTGTTCAACTTGTATGAAAAAATTACTGTTCCTCATTGTGTTTTCCTTTAATTTTTTTTTGGTCGATATTGTGGATTTTCATTTGTGGGGAACTTTGCATGTTGAACATATATTTGGCTTTCACTATTATATTGTCTTCGTGGATGGGTTCTCTGGATATACATGAATCTACTGCAACATAAATATTCTACATTTTTTAATTTTTCTAAAATTGTATATATTCAATATATTGCTTAAGTCAAACTTCCCTTGCTTTGATTCTTTTGGCGGCAGGGTATACCTCCCAAACCTTCCAAATAGTCCATTTGTTTATTATGTTATATGCCATTGCAAAATGGTTTTGGCAGGATATTAACATGAAAATATTTATTGATTTTTTCCAGGACTTCATAGCCATCTAAATTTCTATTTATCTAAAATAAATGTTTTTTTTTTGGTTAGTTCAACTTTGGGAATCGAACTTGAGATGTAGCGTTGTTAACGTCAACTGCATTGCTAACGTCAAATGCTAACCAGTCAAGCCCAAGCCCGGTTCCTCATATAATGTTATATTTCTTGAAATTGTACCTCCATTTTTTGTAACTTGACATATATTTGTATTGATCATGGAGAACAAGTTTACCATCATGGGAATTTGTCTAATAGAATTTTTGTGGAAAACTGCAATGTCAAACAAACTTGTCTTGAAGCTGCAATTTTTAGGGATTCGTTGGAGTTACTATTAACCCATTTTTTTTTGTGTTCTGACATCTTGTGACTCTCAACAATTCAAGACATTTGTTGATCGGTATTAATGGAAGGCAGTGTAATGTCATGTAATAGAGCGTAATGTCATGCATTGTCATGTGATGTGATGTAATGTCATATCAAACTTATTAAAAAGTATTTAAAAAACTGTTATATTAATCATTGTGTTATGCTAATTCTATTAATAATATTAGGTCTAGTTTGTATTTATCTTTTATCTTTTACATGTTTTACCGAATGGCGTATTGTGGTGATGACAACTTCTCAGACAACTCCCAGATAGACACGTTTCATTGTTCACATGTACCAGGTGATCAGAGTATTTAATTGATGTGGATCTTGAATCTAAGAGAAAGTCACTTTCTATAGAAGCTCAATTTTGAGTATGCATAGGATCACATTTATTCAGCTGCCTTCTCTTCTTCGTATGCGGCGAGCATTCTGGCAATGGAACTCGAAAGCTAAATGGTAGTTGGTGGGGCACCATGACAATTTGGTTTTTTTCAACTTATTTTGGTGCATTGGATTAGAACCTCCATTGAAAGATTGTTGATAATAAAGGAGTTGTGCAATCAAGCAATGAAAATATTTGAGTAATTGCAAGTATTATAATTAATTGTTAAATGGAGAACTGTGTCCTAATGTTTCAGTTCTGTAGTGGTTAGTGACATATGAGTATCCTCTTGTTCTGTGTACTCTTCCTTTGTCAGATGAAATTAGAATGTTGATGGTTTGCCCTTGGTATAGTTCGACCTACCCAGATTGCTTTCGTGCACTTTTAGAATGTTCGCTTATTATCGGCAATGTTGTGGCTTCTATTCAAGGTTTCTTTAGAGAAGGCTAATTTGTAATGTCACTTTTAGAATGTTGGGTTATCATCGGCAATGTTATGGCTTCTATTCAAGGTTTCTTTGGGAAGGCTAATTCCTAACGTCAATGCTCGCCTCAATTAACAAAGCTCAGTCAAGTTCAGTGTCACTCGGGCTTAGCATCCTATGAGGCTCAGAAGCCACCTACTTCCTATGTTGGTATGGGGCTGTTACCATTGTAGCTCAGGAGAGTTGTCAGAGATTTGGTGATTTTCTCACAGACTCAGCGAGTCTGTTAGAACCTCTGAGTGCGGTAAATTTTCCAGTTACAAAGTGGGGAGCAGAAAACGAAGCCCCCCTTTTGGTCATTTCTCCTCAAGCATTGATTGGATCACTTCAGTTTTTGTGCATAGGGTCATTTTCACATGATCTATCCATTGTACAGATCAGATTCCAGAAAAAAAAGTCAAATTTCTAGAATTTGAGAGTTTTGAACTGGGGCTTGGCCGAAGTTTGAAAACGTCCTATTTCTTTACAAACCTAACTTGATCTTGGTTGACATGTGTTATCTAAGCCTATTTTTACGTTCTTTATCGAATCATCAGTTTATATATCACAAATATACTCAAAACCTCATATTACAGGATTCTGATAATCGAAACGCTATTTACCCTAACCTTTTATTATTTTTTGGAAATCAATACACTACGTAAGCCATAAAATCAATTTTTATTTTAGATTTTTATAATTTTTTTATATTTTTTGTTTTTCTAATTTTTATTTTCCCAATTTTATTTATGAGGGCAACTCATCCAGCTCAGAAAAAACTGTGCGGGCCACTCGGGGCTCACCGATCTGACTTGCTCCGGACACATGCCGAGTTCCAAGTTTGCTAAAACTAGTCAAATTTAGTGTCTCCCAAACTTGGAGCCTTTACAGTTTGCTCTTGTATCTAGTTTCACGAAAAGTATTTTAGGGCAGATCAATCTGCTCTTAAAAGTTTGGTCTAACCTTCAGATTGACTGATCATATACACCATAAGACATAAGACGTGGATAGGTAAAGCCGTAAAAGGACACATGAAAGCTCATTTGGAGAAAATGTAAGCTTGTATCCAGTTACAGGAAGCATATTTTTGGGGCAGATCTAACGCGCACATTGACCGAACGTGAAAGACTGTGAGAGTTGTGTAGGTAAAGGACAAATGAAAGGTGATTTGGGGAAATGTATTAGTATGACCGTGCATACTGGCTATTCTTACAAGAGCTGATATTGGGTAGATTGATGGCTTTGTGAAATATCTTCTCATAGCTTCTAATCCAAAAGTAGAAATTCTGGATCCAAGGTAAGTCGTTTTTCAATTCGTGCTGTTTTAGGGGTTTATGGATAGAGTCCTCTCTGGATTTATTTGCGGACACTCTTTTTTGGTATAGTAAGAGTATTTTGTCTGCTGAATCTATTATTTCATCACCCTTATACTTTAGAAACTAGGGAGTGCTGAGGTGGTGTTTGCTCCCCCACCCCCCCACCAAAAAAAAAAAAGAAAGAAAAAAAAGAAAAGGAAAAAGAGAAAGGTAAAGTGCTGAGGTGGTGTTTCAAGAAATTAATCCTTCACTTATGAATGATCAAGATGTAATGCCAATTTACTGATTCCTGTGCTCACGAGATATATGCAGGTTTGTTCTCTTATTTCTAGTTTTGGTTATTATGTTCAGCTGTCATTTTGTTGGGCTACTGGTCGATGTGCTAATACTGAATCAGAACTGTGTGCTTTTTATTAATTATAGTTAATTTATAGTTTATTGATCTTACCTGTCAGAATAAGGGTCCAGTCCATTTGGAATATTAATGTCTCCTCTCAAGCGCACAACACACACACACCGAGTCTTTGCTCAATCTTTTTCATGTATAATCCATGACACTGGTTGTGTTAAAAGAATGCATGATACCGTGATTGTGGTCTACAGGTAATTGCAAAGCTTGAAGGGCCTGCTGTGAGCCAATACAGTGCCTTGCGCTTATTACAGGTGCCGTAATGATTGGCTTAATAATATATAATGTGTGGAGTTTCAGAATGTGTTAGTTCTAACATCAAGAACAATGTCACTAATGCTTTGGTTTCCTTGTAGGCAACATTGGATGAATCTTTATATGAACTTGCTGGAGAGCTGGTAGAACTTTTATCCATCCTTATTCGTCGGCTTATTGGCCTTAGAATTGTTTTCCATTATTTTCTCAGGTATTCAAATTTGCAGGTTCGATTTTTGCTGCGATCTGGAAGAGATTATGATCTTTTATCTGCAGAATCTGATAGGCTCTCACCAAGATTCCTAGGTTCTTTCCTTTTCCGCCCTAGCTTTCGGAAACAGGACCTGAGAAGGTAGTCCTTATCTTCAATAAATGGATAATTTATTTGGCATGAATTGTTCAGTAATGCATGGTCTGGAGTCTGCCTTTACTGACATCTGATAGACCTTTATAGAAATGATTTTGTTGTTGTGTAGCTGATCCTGTTAGTTATAGCAATTTTCCCTCTTTAATGTTATCACTATGGTATCCCCTATCTACTATTGTGATTAGAAGTGACAATTTTAGTGGAGCATTTTCCCTTTTCCTTGCAGCAATAGTTTTTCTAATAGGGAGCAAAGTGCACACATTGCTTCTGTTAAGAACATTCTTGAGAACCATGCGAGCTACCTGATGTCTGGAAAAGAACTCTCCAAGCTTGTTGCATTTGTAAAGGGCACACAATTTGATTTGGTGGTAAGGGCACCACTTGTATTAAGCTTCATGCAGTTATTTTTATCTTATCGCTATTAGTATTATGGATTTCCCTAATCAATTGTAGGAGTACCTGCAAAGGGAACGCCGTGGGAGTGCTCGTCTGGAAAATTTTGCTTCAGGACTGGAGCTCATTGGTCAGAAGGTATGAGCTACAGGCACATGTAACTTCATAAAGATTTTATTTCTTTACTGTAAAGATTTATGCCGCGTCTTTATGTCCCAATGAACCATGTTAGCGCTATTTGGGATGGCAATCTGTCTATGACTGAAGTGGCATCTTTGGATGCCACTTTATACCCCGGTTCAGGTGTAAGTTCACCCATAAAATGCCCACTTTGTGAGCTGGATGACAACTGAAAATACCTGTTTTCATCCAACTCATGAATTGAAGCCTTTATTTGGAGCACGGACTGCATGATGATCAAAACCCATGTAGGCATCCAATATCGGGGTTATACAATAAAAAATCTTAACAGTGGACGTAGAATGACGTTCTGCCATCAAAATCAGTATCTTACTGGAATCTGGACCCTTCATTTTTAAATGATATCTTTTTCCTTCATTGTTATTTGGACAGCATGGTGCAGGAAATTTGGTTATGCGTACTAGAAGCAGAATGGGATTGTTGAATATCATTCAGAAGTCTCTCTGTCTCCACCTCCCTCGCCCTCTCTCTCTCTCTCTCTCTACTATATATATATATAAGAGAGAGAGAGAGAGAAGAGGAGAGAGAGGAGGAGAGAGAGA